TTTTGTATTTATATTCATATTCATACATTAGTCAAATTTATGCTTAAAATATTTTATTATCACTTAGCATTATACCAGAGACATTTTCCAATTGCTGCATATGCATATGCTCTCATAATTATCCTTTACATAGCTGTATGGTATTCTATTACATTAATTTACCATAATATACTTAACCATGAATGTGGTGTTAAACATGTTGATTATTCACAAATATTCATTACTATAGACAATGATGCAGTTAACATCTGGTACATTGCTTGTGGCTTCTATTGAATCTTCTCTTATAATAATTCCATAAGAGTGAAATTGTTGGGTCAAAAGTATTTCTCTTATTGCTTTGTAGGAGTTTTTTTAGATTAAGAAAACTAACACTTAATCTTTCATATGAATTTTTAAAAAATGTTCCCAGTGGATTGTTTGGCTTGATTTTATGGTGATAATTTTTTTCCATGCAGAAAATTATTTTTAAGGAATAACATTTTTAGAGCCTTCTTAAAAATGCTTCAGGGTATGGTGTCATAATCAGAGAGGCCTTCCTAATGATCATATTATAAAAACATTTTCCCACTTATTTTCCATTTCTATAATATTATGATTTCATTTTTATATTTAAATATTTGATCACTGAAATTTATTTGGCATATATATGTTATAAAGTAGGACTTTACTTTTAATCTTTTTTCCAGATGAGTAATGATCTGTCTGTTCCAGCATCATTTATTTAATAATCCATTCCTTACCCCAACTGATTTGAAATGCCACATTTATCATTTATTATATTCTGGTATTTTTTATTTCTAGACTATGCAGATGATATGTCTATAACTTACATATCAGCATTATACCGTTTTAATCATTATGTATCTTTGTAGCACCTATTAGCAGTCTCTTTTTTTTACTCCTTTTTTTCCCCAGAAATTTCCTGGGTCCATTGGTATTTATTTTAGTCTTTATAATACAATATATTGTTACTTATTTTGTTGCTCCAATTGTTCTGGCTTTGTTTGGGAGAGCAGTTCTTTTCAATTGGCTCTTGTGCCCTTTCAACATACTCTCATCCTTCGTTTGTGACCACTTCATTTTCTTTCACAACAAGATGCTTCAGTCCCCTCTTGTATTTTACCTGCCCCAGCCTTGGAATCAATCATTTCTCTAAGGAATCTTAGAAGGTCCTTTTATTAGAGAATTAAATTTAGGAACCAATATTTAGACATTGGATGTACTCATTGCTACAGGAGTGTCACTACTTCTAGGCCCATCACAGAAAAGATCTAGAAAATATATGATGTATAGAGCTCATGCATACACACATATCTATATTTATTTCTATATGTATCTCTTTTTTCTTTGTTTTAAATTGTGAGTTTATAGTGATACCCCAGGCCCCAATCCAACACCTCAGGGCTCATTCTAGCCGTCTCCCTTTCCTTATTTGTTACTTTTTTCTGGTTGAAAGAAATATGGCTCATATAATCAATAACACAGTTACTTATTTGTTATATAGTCATGCATCACATAATGACGGTTCAGTCAACAACACACTGCATATACAATGGTGGTCCCATGAGATCATAATGCCATATTTTTACTGTACCTTTTCTATGTTTAGTTATGTTTAGATACACAAATACTGCTGTGTTACAATTGCCTACAGTATTCAGTACAGAAACATGCTGTATAGGTTTGTAGCTAGGAACAACAGGCTATACAGTATAGCCTAGATGTGTGGTAGGCTACATATTATCTAGGTTTGTGTAAGTACACTTCATAAGGTTCAACAACAAAGAAATTGTCTAGCAATGCATTTCTCAGAATGAATTCCTGCTGACACACGACTGTACATGGAAAGTAATTTCAATATTGCTACACCATACCTCTATGAAAAACAAATGTGTCAACTAAAGTGCAGTGTCTGTGTACAGTTTTTTGGTTTTTTCTTTTTAATCTAACCTTATAGTTTCCAATCCAAACACTGTTTTCCAAAGTTGGTTAGGTCAACGTCCTTCTTTCCCACCCTCTTCAGTGAGGTTATGTAGTTCATTTATAATACAGTTAGATTAATATGTCAGAGTCTGCATTTCATCTTGGGTTCTCCTAACATGCTGATTGATTTTTTTAAATTTACATATGGTTAAAATTCACTGTTTGTGAATACAGTGTTATGCGTTTTGACAAATGCACACTTACATACCCACCATCATAGTTCCATACAAAACAGTTCCATCATCCTCAGATTCCCTTTTGTGGCCCCTTTGTAGTTAAACCCCCTCAAACCCCTTATCCCTGGCAACCACTGAACTGTTTTCTGTCCTTGTTGTTGTACTTTTCCCAGAATTTCATGTAAAGGGAAATGTAGCCTTTGGGTCTTCTTTTCACTTAGAAAAATACATTTAAAATTCATCTATGTTGTTGCATGAATCAATAGTCTGTTCCTTTTTATTGCTGAGTTGTATTCTGTTGTCTGAATGTACCACAGATTGCTTATCCATTTACATCTGAATTGTTTCCAGTTTGGGGCAATTATGAATAAAATTGCTATAAACATTCACATATAGGCTTTTGGATGAACAGAAGTTTTCTTTTTTCTTGGGTAAATATCTAGGGGTGGGATTGCTGGGTCAGATGGTAGGTATATGTTTAACTTTATAAGAATTGCCAAACTCTTCTGCAAAGTGGTTGTATCACTTTGCATTCCTACCAGCAATGTATAAGAGTTCTAATTGCTCTGTATCCTCATCAGCACTGGGTATCATCAGATTTTTAAAAAATGTTTAGCCATTCTAATACTTGTGTAGTGATATCTCATTGCAGTAATTTGCATTTCACTAGTAACTAATGATACTGTTCATCTTTTCTTATTCTAATTTTCCATTGGCATCTTTTTCATCAAATGTCTCTTTAGAGCTTTTGCCTATTTTTTAAAATTGGGGTTTTGTTTATCATTGGGTTGCGAGAGGTCTTTATATATACTCTGGGTACAAGTCCTTTATCATATATATGATTTGCAAACATTTTCTCCAAATATGTGTTTTTTCATTCTACTTCACAGAGCTAAACTACTTAATGTTGATAATGTACAGCTTATTAAGTTTTTTCTTTTATGTATTATGCTTTTGGTTTTGTATCTAAACACTCTAACTCAAGATCACACATATTTTCTCCTAGAAGATTTATAGATTTGTGTTTTATATTTAGGTATTTGATTCATCTCAAGTTGATTTTTGTGTAAGAAGTGAAGTGTAGGTCGAAGTTTTTGTTTTTTTGTTTGTTTGTTTTTTGCCTATGAACATCCAGTTGTCCAACTAGACTGTGAGCTCCTTGACAGTAGAGGCTGTGTCTCCTAATCTTTGTATCATCGTAATTGTATAATAATCTCCGCATAGCAGATATCTCATTCTCAGTTTCTATTTTAATTATAACTCCCACCACCTCCACTCAGTTACCCAAGAGTGGTACTTTTGCTTCTATAATATTAAATCTGAATTTTTACACCTGTCTCTAGGTGTAACAGTCTAACTGTCATACTACATCAGCCTCAGTTCTCAATAGTTCTAGATGTCAAGGATAATTTTAAAGTGTTGCTTTCAGTGGGACTTCCGAAAGTATTAACTTTTGAATCATATATTTTAGCCACAATTGCTCCTTTTTGCCAAGATCCTCGCCTGTCTATGTTTATTGATTTGGCTTCAATTGTGGATTTACCTAGTAAGATGGAAAGTGTAATAAAATATAAGAAACAGACCAGATGGCCAGATTGTGAAATCCTTTTTGAAATGGATCCTGCTTACCAAAATAAAGTAAGTTTAAAAACAGTTCATTTTAGTGAATGTGTGATTTAAGGAGCAGAAACCCACTGAAATTCTTAGATGAAAGGAATTTATTGAAAAATTAGAGTATCCTAATTCATAGCAATTGGAAAGCCATTCCCAGTTTGTCTCCCCATTTGTCTTTCCAATGTCCTTCCATCTTTGCTCACTCTGTGTGTTTTTTCCAACGTCTGTGAAAATGAGCTTTCTCTTTTATGGCTCCCTCATAATATTGGCTTGCCAATATGTTGGGTAGCCATGCTGCAACTCTTCCCATTACCATCTAACTGAGTATTTTTGTCCAAATTTACAAGGGAATCTAATTGGCTTAGCTTGGGTCAAGATTCTACTCCATCCAAATTAGCTCTGTCTTAAATGATGTCACATATAGGACTGGCTCTTTCTAGGGAAATGCATAAAATATATACTTTAAAAAAGGGTGATAAGTAAGGGCATAAATGATTAGCGTCTCTAGTGTGTGCTCAAATGAACATGCTAATTATAAAGTCAAATAGCCTAGTAAGCCTTTATATAAAAGTTAAATATTAGAAAGCCATCTAAACTTCTTACAGTCTTATGTTTCCAACATATTTAGCTATTTAATAGAGGTTCTTAATAAAATGAACTCCACATAAGAAACTATTAGCATATCAAACCATACTTTTTTCACTCTTAAAAGAAATTCTGACTAACTTTTTAAAAACTTTTATTTACAGATTGTAAGTCTCCTGACTATTATTGGTAATTCAATGGGCCTAGTTAATGTTTACAGCTGCAACTTTATGAAGTATTGTACCATGGTAGAAAAGGCCAAAATCATGAGTATGAAAATATCGTCTCTGGGAGAATTAACTTCAACAGATTTTACAATGATACTGAGTAGATTCAGAAACTATTTTAGACATATTGTGAATATGGCCATTGAGAAGCGCATTGGTATTTTCAACGTTGTTAGTCTTGATTATCAGTCAGAATGCTTACCATATGTTGACAACATCATACATATGAGCCACATACTCTTGCAATCTCTAATTGAAAAAAAGAGTGTAAATCTATTGGAAGTAAGTATTTCAAAAATTCCTATTGCATAAGAATGTTTCAGATATAGGAAATTATAATTTTTAAATATGTACTTAGAAAATATACATGATAAATATCCTCAGAAAATTCCATTGTGTATTGCATTCTTGTCTTTGATCAAACATTACTTCCTCAAAAGAACATTGATAGGGACTCTTGTATATCTTAAGTCACCTCTAGATTATTTATAATACCTAATACAATGTAAATGCTATGAAACCAGTTGTTATCTTGTATTGCTTTTCATTTTCATTATTTTTATTATTATATTTTTAAAAATATTTTCATTCCATGGTTGGTTGAATCCAAAGATGTGAAACCCGTGGGTATGGAAGGCCAACTATATCTTAAATGAAAATTTTACTTGATGAGATTAATAGCAGATTAGATAACAGCAGAAAAAGATCTTAACTTAAAGAAATAGCAATAGAATCTATAACAAAAGAAGCACAGAGAGGAAAAAAGGCTGAGAAACCAAACAAAAACAGAGCCTCAGTTACGTATAGGATAATACCAAGTGATCTATCATATTAATATATGTAATTGGAGAGGGGGATGGACAGAAAAAAGATGTCTGAAAAATAATAGTAAAATAATCCCAAATTTGATGAAAACTAAACAAATGAATTTGAGAAGCTCAGTGAAACCCAAAGTAAAATAACACCAAAAACATAATCAAATTACTGAAAACCAGTGAAGAAGAGAAAATCTTAAAAGCAGCAAGAGGCAAAAAAAAATAAAAATAAAAAAAAAAATAAGGAACAAGAAACAAAATCAAGAAATTCTACAAACTTCTGGTGAGAAATTATGTAAGCAAGAGGACAATGGAATAACATCTTTAAAGAGAGAAAAATTGTTGGAATATGTATATCTAACAAAGGATTTGCATCCAGGATATATAAAGAACTCTTACACGCCAAAGCACCAATAAAAATAGTAAGACAAATGACTGAATAAAAAGTGGGCAAAATATTCAAACACACTTCACAAAAGGAGATGACATAAAGATGCAATATCTGCTAAACACCATTCTCATCAGGGAAATGCACATTAAAACTATAATGACAACCCACTACATGTACACTAGAATGGCTAAAATTAAAAAGACTTACAATACCAAATGCTGACAAGATTTGGAGGAATTAGAATTTTCATAACATTGCAGGTGAGAATTCAAAATGGTACAATCACTTTGGAAAACTGGCAATTGTTTTAAAGTTAAATATTCACTTACCGTTTGATGTAATAATCCCATTCCACATTATTTATCTATGAGAAATGAAAACAAATCCACACACAAACTTGCATCCAAATTAGTTATAGAAGCTTTACCCACAATTGCTAAAACCTGAAAGCAATCCAAGTGTCTATCAACAGGTGAATAGATGAGAAAAAATTTTAATATATTCATATATTGGAATACTATTCAGCCATAAAAAGGAAATGGACTGCCACATGCAACAACTTGGATGAATCTTTAAAAACTTGTTGAGCAAAAGAAGACAGACACAAAGAAGTACCTACTATGTAATTACATATATATCAAATTTGACAAAGACAAATTTAATCTATAGTAATAATAACCAGGCAGATGGTTTTATAATATATAATGAAATAATTATGCAACTTACTATAATGCAAAATCTAATGCCACTGCTGATCTGAAAGGAGGCAGAGCTCAGGCAGTGATATGAGCAATGGGGAGCGGCTGTAAATACAGATGAAGCTTCGCTCTCTCACCCACTGCTCACCTCCTGGTGTGTGGCCCAGTTCCTAACAGGACACTGACCAGTACCAGTCCATGGCCTAGTGGCTGGGAACTACATTGCTTAAGTTCACACAGTTAGTAAATGCTGGAATTTAAACAAAGTCTCTCTGATTTTAAGGCCTGTTCATATTAATATAAACTCTATGACAAAAGACAAAGACATACTCCCCATAGTATAATTTCTCATGGGTTAACAGTGATTATCTCTGGGTGATGAAATAATAGATGACTTTCCATTTCATAAACTTTTTTTGTACTCCAATTTTTGCATGAACATTTATTATAATCAAATAGACTAAAGTGTTTGAAAAGATAGAGACACAAGCAATTAATTCAAGGCTGTGAAGGTTGAAAATTGAACTGACTTGGATTCTAAAGTTATGTAAAATTATACATGAATACTCATTAAGTACCCTTGAAACATGAAGAAATAATATGAAAAAAAAATTGTCATTTCAGTATAGAAATGCAATTACTTCAGAAATTTTATGGAATGAAATACATATACTTATGAAAAGTGTGGCTATTGTCAATATGCTTATAATGGATACAAGTAGGGTGAGAAAGAATGGGATTTAGAGTCAGATTTGGGTCTGAATCATAGTTCTGTAACTCAATCCCTCTGAGATTCAGTTTCACCCTCTGCAAACTAGGTAAAAAAACACCTAATTAGCAAATATACTGTCTGAATAAAGTGATATAATATACCTCAAGAACCTAGCACATATATGCTTGAAAAGTGGTAGCAATTATCATGCACTGTTCACTTTTCAGTCATACTTTTGCTACTTATTTTTGAAAGCCATTATTCATTATAGTACTTCTTTTATGTTTTAGTAGCATTTATTTTATAACTCAGATACATTCAAGTGCCTTTTATTAACAATAGAAGTATTTGGTCATGTTAATATCCCAATATTTAAATAATACTTAGAATTATGCCTAGATGATGTTTTCAATTTTTAATGAAATTATATTAAGTCAAAGAAATTAAAAAGAGTAATTAGTCTTCTAAAATAGTGAAAAGTCATAATAACTATAATTGACATGTTAATGATTTCAGGTTGTAGAATCATCATTACGACAGCTGGAATGTGATCCCACTGAAATAGAAGAATTTGTGAAGCATTTTACTTTTTTGGATGAAATTTCCTCAAATATATCTAAATTAGAACAAGAGTACTTAACACTTTCTCAGCTATTTTCTGTTGTAAGGCATTACCAGATCCATATTTCTGAAGAGCAAATGGCCATCTATAAAATCCTTCTTATCAAATTTGGTCAACTAAAAACATCCATGAAGTTAAGTAAAACAAACAAAGATGCTACTATAACTAAATTCAGAGATAATTTGGAAGCATGTATCACTGGTCTACGAGTTGATGTTAGTAATTTAAAGACCAAAGTAAGTTTCTTTTTTATTTTTTAGAAACTTTATCTTAGCCTCATGCGAGTCTAAGCATTTGGGTATTTGCTTTCTGTGGAATCTTGGATAAATAATTTAATCCTAATATTCTTAACATGGGATTCGCTGACAGAATTTTGGTGATTTGTGAACTTGAATGATAAGTAAAATTACATGTCTATTTTCACTAGCTTTTAACTGGAATTTAGCATTTTCTTCAACTATGAATGAATGTAGATAACAAACAGCAGCAGAGCTGGTGAGTTTTACAATAGACTTCAGCAGACTGCCAAAGCGGCTCATGGCACAAAAAGGGCTTAAAAAAAAAAAAACGCTGAAATCTTTCTGGACCTTTGGGCCAAATGGTAATGATAGTTCCAACTCCACTCACTTATGTTAATGATTTGATTATATACTAAAATGCTTTGACTGTCAGTAAAACATGTTTAAGTTGTGAACATTTTGGTCTCTTAGAATGTCTTCTAAGTAAGAAAGACTTACTTCTGTCTTACTGTTATTTTTTAGATAAGAACTCCTGTTCTCTTATATGCTGGTACTCGACTGTCAACGGCAATGGAAATGATCCAGACTCTCTCAGAGGAAGCTGCAAGTTTAGCCAACAAAGCTAAAATGTATTCAAGCCAGCAGAATTATTTTGATAATTCCCAGTCTCATATGCATTCTCTTAATATGGAAGATATTACACAGATTGTGCTTTCAGAGATAACTGACATTGAATATGACCTAACTTTGAGGAAAATATTATGGGAAGCAAAAGAGGATTTGAGAACACTCTTTTGGCAATGGAGGAAATGTTCTCTTCAAAGTATTGATATAGAGTCAGTACAAAGAAATGTTTCAAAATGGATGCACATAATCTACATACTAGAAAAAGGTAAAAGTGTGTTTCTCAAATTTTCCCATCTACAATAACACACAACATGGCCTCTGGGCAGCAAGATCATTATCCTTGGTTTTGTTTCTTTGTTTGTTCCCCGGGGTTGACCATTATGGCTGGAGCAACAATTCAGGCAAGAATTGTTTGCTGAAACAAGAAAGAGATTAAGTCTTTGCAAAAAAATTTTCATTAAGTTATTAATAACAATTTTTGTAGTCCTTGAAAGTGGGTTCCCTGGGTAGAACCCCAGACACTTTACTCTGATTCTGGCTCTTCTTAGGGTACTGGTCAGAGATGTTTTGATGATAAAGGCCACCCTGCAGAATCTTTACCGAAATCCTCTGTACTCCTCTAAGTATCCTTTGAGCAGTGAGGGAAACAGCTAAAATGTCATTTTGAGAGGTTTCTCTTATGCTAATCATCAAATTTGAAATCTTGTGTATCCAGAGAATACTGTTACTGTAAGAGCATTTTACAAGAACTTATCATTTCCAAAAGGAAAGTTTTGCTCACCTGATCAAGAGAATGTCTTCGCTAAGGCTCAGCTATACCTCAAGCTAAAATTTATTCTCCAGAAAAGCCAGAAAAACAGTTTATCATGCTTGTTTTAAAATTAAACAAGAAATATAATGTATATTTATAAGAAATATAATAATATTAAAACATTTAGAAAAGAGAAAAACTAGGTGCAAATCATAGTCTCAGTGCTTTAACATAGCACTCATTGTTTGTATTCCCTCTCAGTATTTTGTCATATATGCTTCAAAGAATATATAAAATAACAAGTAGACAACACCTTCTTTTATCTATAGTTTCCCAGACAAAATCTTGCTGCTTGCTAAAGTCTGACCTGGGAAAAACCAAAGTTTTTCTCTTGACCTTCTGTTTAACCAGATCTTTAAAAACATTTTACTATTTAGTATGGTTTTATAAAAGAAGCCCCATCTGTACAAACTGTTTTTATGATAGTGTGGGTTTAGTTTTCAATTCTCCCAAGCTCCTAACTTTGGCTATTTCTCTCTTCCATTCCCTTTTCTAAGGTGAGTAAAAAGGTTATAAGGGATGAAACTTCAACTCCATAGGTTGACTAATGCTAGTTTATGGCAAATTTGTCACCTAAATTTTGGTGTTAAAATATTGTTTTTATGAAATGATAATGATGGTAGATTTTTTCCCCTTGATGTTCTTCCTTACTTAGCAAATTTTAAAAGCCTAAAATGTATGCCAGTCTTCTGAATGTGTGTGCATACTCATCTGTCTGTATTTCTATCTTGATAGTGAAAATCTGGGAAACACTGTAGTAGCTGGTCATCCCTGGTATCAAATTTTCCAAGATAATCTGGCTGTCCTTCCTAGTCCTAATAACTATTTCTCTTTATTTTAATCTATAGTTGATTCTTATGGGGCAGTAGGTTGATGTTAATTAAACTCATTATTTTATATTATTTTAATGCAGACTAATAAAGGGTAAACTAGTGTTACATTAATTGGCAAATTTTAAAGAAAAATTCTTATTTTCTCAATTTTTTTCTGGTTAAAAAATACAATAAACATGTTGTAAGCCTACTGACCCATTGTTATTTATAGGTTTACCTAAAAATGATATGGTAAAACATCTTAAGCAATCGGTGACAGAGTTTAAACAAGAACTGCCTATCATCACAGCTCTGAGCAACCCCTCTCTTAAGCCAAGGCATTGGGAGGCTCTCCAGGAGATTGTTGGAAAGTCAATTTCCCTTGATAAAAATTGTACACTAGAGAATCTTCTAACCCTCAAGGTAAATAAAAATAGTTTGCAAAAAGTAGATTGAAATACTATAGGAGCTAATTTTAAGTAGGGAAATAAATCTACAATGAATAGGAATTAGGAAAGGGAGAAGTTTATAGAATGGGAAAAGAATATATTAATAGATAATAGGTTATAGAAAATTATGTTTAATTGGAGACATTGGATAATTTATTCATTATACAATTATTATCTAGGTGATTAGAAAACAGTAATACTGGTTTTCATGTGTGACAAATGAAATTAGTGTTTCATTATTTAAAAGTGCTCCTTCTTATAGAGAATACATAAAAACGGAAAAATCCAAGCTGCTATATTCCATTTTATATAAAATGAAAATATATTAAGAGCATGTCAGAATAGTCATACCAATAACTTAATATTACATTTAAAATACATAATAGCTATTTGATTTGCCAGGGAAGTTTTGTTATAAAACTATAATTTTTCCAATTTTTATGGTTAAAAAGTTTTCTATTTTCATGCCTAACTTGCAATAAGCTTTGTTTATGTTTAATGTTTCATGGTTGACAATATCTAATATAATCAAAACCAGCATTTTATACCTATAATACCCTTACTAAATGATCTGTTGTAATGAGGAACATGGGGAAAAAATTTAAAGAATTTAAAAAGACAACTGTAATTTATTTTTAAAAATTATTTTATATCACCAACCCTAATCTCAGCCTCCCTCCTGAACTAAAAACTCACACTTCCAATTTCTTATTTAATATGTCTAAGAGATATCTCAAAATTAACATGTTGAAAAATTCACTTTTCATTCTCCATCTCCCAGATTTTACTCTCCCTCTGTCTTCCCCATCTCAGTTAATGGCAGCTCCATTCTTCCACTTGCTTACATTAAAAATCATAAAATAATTCTTGCATCTTCCCTTGCTCTCACATTCCTCATCATATCTAAATCTCTCTTCCTTTTCTGGATTATTACCAGAGCCTCCCAACTTACCTGTATGCCAAAGAGAAATTCAGCAAGAGATCTAGATCATTTCAGAACATAAGGGCCAATACCAACAGATGAGTTTATTAAAATCAGCATGCTAAAAATCTTGCACAATTTCAGTGACATTGTCATTTTCAGCCTTGGGTTATTGCAACCATTCCTGGGTAAGTTAGGTATGGTATCAGAATTTGACAGACTAAGTGTAACAGCAAGCAATAAAAGTTAGGGTAGATAGGTGTATAGGGTAGCAGCTGGGAATGGTAGCCTGTAATACCTCAAAGAGTTCCAGTGAGCTGTCCTTATATTTCTAACATGAATGGATACTTTAAAAAGGAAGTCTCATGCAGTTTTTGAAGGGTCAAAATTAAGACAATTTGACATCTGAACAAAGTGAACAAGGTCTTCAGCCTCAGAAATACTATAGTCAGGAGTCAGAGGAACCCTTTCCCCTTCTTGAAGTTAGTTATATTAATAATAGTAAGAGGGGAAAGGAGATAATCAGCTGGTAATCTCTAGGGAACTCTAAGAGTTCCTGGATGATTTTGCTCATCCTGTAGAAATCTGACAATTTATCCAGTGTAATGTAGATATTTAGATGCGTAGGATTTGGCCCAGAAACTCAGCCTTCATTTACTAAAACTTGCATTTCTTGGTGTGGACCCAAAGATGGTAATCATGCCTCAAGACTTTCCAGGATAGGCCATATTATAAGTTCATTTGTGATCCTATCAAATGAGTAAATTGTCATGGCTTACAGTTATGTGACAACCATTCTGTCCATGATGTTGTGCAGGCTCTGAAAAGCCTATCACATGAAAAGCAAGTCATAAAGTAAGTTCATAGGCAGGACTCAATGTATGCATACGATGAACACTATCATTTTATGGTTGATCATTTGCACTTTAGAAGCCATGTGCTTTATAATAAAGGTAGATAATTAATTATAGGCATTAAGATTCATCTGAAACCACCCAGATATTAACCAAGTCAATTGGAAAATTTGTTTGTCAATCAGGTCCCAAGCTGTGACCATGAAGACTTGACAGGGCTAGATTGACTTGGCTGAAATTTTGCTTTACACATTGTTAGTACCTTGATTTAGTTTTTGGAAATCTTAGAATGTTAGCATTAGGCACAGCGTTCTTTCTTCAGCATAGAACTTTCATGGTCCTATTGCATCCTTATCTGCCTTTGGCTGAATAATCTATGTCAAAAGGTAGACCTCTTTCCCAAAGCTGTTATTTAAGGCCACAAGCAGTCAACTTATCCCACCATCCTTATACCCATCTTTGGCAGGCCCATAAGAAAGATAATAAAAATTAGTCATATATGTTCATTGTCCCCACTGAGCTGTATTACCAAAATATAGAGATTAAGCATCATTCTTTAACCCAACGGAAATGATGTATAGGAATAGTAGTAGATTCTTGTTCCTAAATAGGGATAAAAACAATAAGCCTAGCTAGTTAATTCAAAGATATGGACATGAGAAACTCTCCAAGTATTATGGTGAGTGAATCTGAGATCTTGTGTCCAAATTTTGTCCCATGAGAATTTTAAGTCAGTGCACATGGCAAGAAGGCCTATGTATACTCCACCAATGTATTTTGAGATACACTTATCCTCAAGGATATGAGGCAAATAAAGGAAAACCATGGAAATTTGGGTCCATTAGAGTTTCACTCTCTTAGATGAATATATGCCAAGAATTATTATAAAGAGTAAAAACATGTCACAAATTAAGCAATTAGTTCACACTATTGCAGGAAGAAAATAATACCATCTGCACATATACAGAAGGTATATATTATTTGCTCTGACTAGAATCAGACAAAAATTAGAAATTTTCATTGAACGTGAAGGATGTGAAATAGGATAATTTAAAACTGCAAAGGGCTATTTCATGAAGGTTAGGCCATGAAGTCTCTGGTTAGGATGTAGACCTAACTGAAATCAGATCTTCAATACTTTTGATGTGCCTTTCAAAACATACATTTAAATCTTCCATTTTAAATGTATCAGGAATTATTTGCTCCGCTTAAGATTAAATAATAATTTGTTTGTTTCAGATGTTTCTGTATGAAAATGAAATAAGAGATATATCAACCTCAGCAAGTAATGAAGCTACTCTTGAAAAAATGCTATTTAAGATGATTGATTTTTGGAACACTACTCCTTTACATTTAGTTCTTCATCACACAGAGAGTTACTCTATCCTAATAATTTCATCTATAGATGACATATTAGCTCAGTTAGAAGAATCTCAAGTCATACTTTCAACAATTAAAGGATCTTCCTATATCGGTCCCATTAAGGTAAATACTATGACAAAGAAAAATGCTTTAATTTTCTATAGTTATTTATCACTTTAACTTTTTGCATTCTACTGATAAGAACATATACTACATTTCGTCTTAGCCAAAATTCCAAGAATTGTTGCATTCTACAATTTTACACTTGCTTTTGGATTATATAAATTATTCATATACTCATATAGAAATGGTCAAATATTTAGTAGTTTGAATATAAAAGTAGCTTTTTGTGGAGGCATTAATTGTTCATGAGGAAACATCAAAATGTCTAATTTGGGTGGACAAGATAAATTTAGATCATATAAAAATATGACCCTATATACCATGACTTTTACCATCAGTGTTCACTGTTCCCTAATGGTCCCTCACTGTGCCGCCCCACATCCAGTAACGTACCTAACAGTTATTTTAAAACTTCGAGAAACTCAATAAGATATATAGTAATACAGACATGGTAAATAGCAAACTTAAAATAATGGCTCATACATGAACTCACGCACACATATGTACATGCGCCTATATAGTAATTGATAGAGAGTTAAAGAGAAGTATGTACCCAACAAATGGAATTCACATTATTTTCAAACACATACATTTAGGGAAAATGTCAATTAATTGGAACATAGGGAACAATGCCTGGTACTCACACAGTACTGGGAATAGTGCCTATATCCACCAGTCACAACAGAAAATCATTTATGTGACTTTCTATTAATTATTTTCCATATGTCAAAGACTGCTAATCATCTTTGATCTCAGTTTCTATTATGTGACTCTTATAGAATAATTTCATGTATTTAGATTTGTATGTCTGTATGTTTTTATCATTGTAGGATCTTGTGACTAAATGGGATCAAAACTTGACTATCTTCTCTTACACCCTTGAGGAATGGATGAATTGTCAAAGAAATTGGCTTTATCTTGAACCAATCTTTTATTCTTCAGAAATACAAAGGTAAAAGCTTAAAATATACCATATACAGGTAAAAAAAAAATGCATGGTGGATAATATATTTTCTGTTATCCTTGAGAAATCATTTCTTCAATGAATAAACTATCCTACCTATAGACAGAGAAGTCTAATCTGCTGAATCATTATTACTTTTTACATATTTAATTATTTTAATTAAAGATTATCATTTTTAAAAGACTTATTTCTGGATTATTGATATAAAAATATAAAGAACTGGGAAAGAATTGTCACATACGTTATTTTAATCCCTAAGCCACAATATTATGTGTCTATTTAGTTCGGTAATATTAGTGTGATTTGTGGTTTTGATGTGAATAATAAATAAGTTTTTAGTAGCACTTATAAATTAATGAGAATTTCTTCCTTTGGACCAGATAGAAGAATAGAGGGCCTGGGCAATTGTTAAAAATTCTACCTTTTTAAAAACTCATAGCATTCAAATTAATTGGCCTCTAACTTTTTTAAGTGATTGGCCTTAAGAGTGCTTAAGTTGAGACAAATGAATTATCTAGGCAGAATTTAAACTGCTGACATCAAATCAAACAAGACAGTCTAGGGTCCATTTTGGTTTTTTTGTTTTTTTGTTTTTTATTTCAGCAAATTATGGGTGTACAGATGTTTAGGTTACGTGCGTTGCCCTTGGTTCCCC